CACAACTGGTCATCACAATTTCATTACAATTGCCGTTCTAAAATTGCTTCTACTTTAATCAGGCACAGATCCATACCGGTTTCCACCGTTATATACCTAAGTGTAAGGAAAGACCGCAGATTGCCATATGTTGCTTAGAATGATTAGGTAAATTAAAATGTCTAGCGACTGGTTTCGATGTGTCCTTGTCATTCCTTTCCACGTCTCGAAGGTGTTCTCGGAATCGGTCACCTAGTCTTCTGCCTGTTTCGCCGATGTATATCTTTTTGCAATAAGTGCAAGTTATGCAATAGATTACATTGGCGGAGGTGCACGTGAAGTGATCGGTGATCTTAATGGATCGTTTAGGTCCCGATATTTTATCAGTGTTGTGAATGAAAGGACACGTTTTGCATCGTGCACGAGCGCATTTAAAAGTGCCTGGTTGGTCATTAGTCTGAAAAGAACTTCTGACCAAAAAATTGCCTATGTTTTTGTCGCGTTTGAATGAAATGAGCGGAGGCTGCGAAAAGATAGTGCTTGTCTCTGGATCGTTTTGAAGTAATTTAAAGTTTTTAAGAATGATGGATTTAACTGAGTGGTTGTGAGGGTGAAAGTGAAAGGAATGCGGTCGGAATCTTCCTTATGCGACGTTTGTAGTGCTGAATGTCGATCAATAAGTTGGGCGCGGTGGTAACCCGCTTGAACGACAGAAACAGGGTAACCACGTTCATCGAGGCATTTTAATTTACCTTTAGATTATTCACAACAACTTTCTTACCTGCCATGCTAACAGAACTGTCTGGACTGTAATGACCAGAAGAGTCTGCAAAGCAAAAAAGAGTAAAAAAAAAACAGTTTTAGCTGGTGGATATTATAATAAAAAAAACGGTTACCAGCCGTATAAAATGTATGCAAAGTGGCCTTATACCTTTGTTTTGATGAAAACGACATATCTTGCGCCGTTCCCCCTTTAAACTTAATCGGCGAAGCAGAGATGAATAGTAAGGTGTATGAAGCGAATTTAAAATTATATCTATCAATGTATCTTTATCACTCATACATAGCTTTCTTCACTGACGGCTTTAACTTGGCGGCTCCATCGCATAATGTTTTCTGGTTCAGTTCACCGCGTGGGTAGAGAAGGGTTGTTCATTCACGTATACTTACGCTTCGGTCTCCTTAATAACATTCTCTAACTTATCGGTCAATGAACAGAAGTTTGATCACTAACCTTCTTCTTCTGCGCTGTCTGTTAAATAAAGACATCATAATAGAAATAAGTTGACTAAATCATACTGTTAGTAAATTACATTAGGTAGAAACGTAAAAGGAAGCATCGGGGGTTATCCTTGACGACGGTGTTCCTTGATTTGCTTACATTTTATGGAAAAGAATACCTTGAAGGGATTGACCTTAAATGGAAGCTTCCACTAACTACTTTTATCCCCTCCCCACCCTTCTTTAATTCAATTTCTGCTCTACCCTGACACCCTGATTAAATCCTTCCCCTCCAGAAAGGACTTGTAAGACCCAAATTTGCTTAGTAAACAATACTTCCTTTAATTGATATTGCGTGGAAGCTGTTTCACAACTTCATTAAGCGTTGCATTGGGAGTTTAGCTCATTTGTTTACGAAGAGCATTTGTAGTATCTTTCTTTGCTAGAAGCACATGCACGGGCAGTTTGGCAAACGCTCGTCAAGTCTTCAATATTCACAAATAAATGCAAAACAACGTTACAGCTTAGAAAATTGTCACCACCACTGACGTGTAACCGGTGCCTGGCGCACATTTTCAAACTCTCAAGTATCATGATCAAAATACACCATGTGAACTTTCGTTTGCTAACATTTAAGACAACAAGATAATTTATGAACTCTCAGGTTACCTGGAACAGGTCTCGGCCTTTTCGTCCCAGGCTTTGGCTTGTTCGGATTGTTCCTGGGCCTGCTCCTAATCAAGAATGGCGTACTATAAAAAGACTGTGTCTCTTCTTCTGCTCCATTATGAAAAGACAGCTCAACTAGAAGTTGAAAAAGATTCCTTTTGTCCATTTCTACTTTGGCCAGCTCGTAGACTGGAGCAATGGGGCCATCGTAAATGGAGTCCAAGTTCACAGAGAAGAATAGCTACACCAAGCAGAAAGAATAAAACAACCACATTTATTAGCAACAATCATCCTCTTTGTTCGCATATAAGGTTTTGCATGAATGGTAAGACGTAAGATTTGACTGATCTGTTCACGTCGGTTCCTGGTGTTGTTAAGATCTTTTTTAAATCACTATTGGTACCTTCCATAGTCAGGATATTCTAGAAATATCATAGAAAGTATTATTGTATGTTAATCAGCATAGAAAAGGTGTCTGGCAGCACGAGACACGTTTAAGAACAGGATGGAGTTGGACATGATTTGATGCTACTCTTGTTTAAAGATTTAATGAATGTAAACGAAATTACAATTCATCGAAAACACTGAACCAAATGAACATCATCCAGCTGGGAGGCCTTCTTTTCTTCCATTGCCATGCCCAGTAATATACTTGTTTTTCCTAGGAGCACGCTGGGAGGCAGATGGGACTCTGGGATGGCTGTTCCAGGATTGTCAAAGTCTACGGAAGCGTAAATTCGTTCTCCCGCCCGGACAGAACCCATGCACTTCACTTTGATGACTCCGATAACGCAAACAACATCAGTAGGATCTGAGAAGAAACATTATCTCCAGTAAATTCCCCATCAATTTTGGCACGCAAGTCAAAATTTAATAAACAACTCATTACTCACGACTTGGCATCGAAACGTATCTGTTAACCTGTGTACAATTTGGATCTGTCTTGTTACCAATGAAATACTGTCTTTTACATGTACGTTAGCTGCCCTTTAAACTTCACCGGATTGTAACGTACTATAACAAGATTAGTAAGAACAAACCGTCTTCACTGATGGAAGGTGTGGCCTCCATGTACGCTGATCGGCTAATGACGCCCGCCATGACAGCATCTTTTCCCCTTTTGCTGTCCAGCAGCTGTATGGATGCTCTCCCATCGTTACCATTGAAAAAACCGACCACATCTCCTTCTTCAAAGTCTTCACACAGGTCAGGATCTTTTAGTTTGAAGTGATACCCAATGTCAGCCTTCCTGGCACCTGCATCGGAGACTACAAACGACAGGTGTTCGATATGCGCACGCTTGGCTTCCAAGTGGTCAAGTACTCGGAGATTTTGAAACTCGGCTGATCCTGAGGAATAATTTGGATATGTCAACAAAGTTGAAATGGTAAATTGGCCACCGTAACGATTACAAAAGCTGACGTTTCGAGCGTTAGCCCTTCGTCGGAGCGTAATCAAGAAAACTTAGTTGACTAACAAAGCAAATATAAAATGCAAGAACGAAAGCAGCGTCAAAGCTTCACGGTTAGTTATTTAAACCTCGCTATTTATGTTTAGTACAGAAGTTAACAAAGTTTCCATGATAGTCATAATAAGTATGGAAATCCGCAAAAATAGACCGCTTCGATCACTTCCGAAAGGAAACGCTCTCGTGCATGAACTATTAAGACCTTTCAACGTTTTAACTGAAGCGTAAATAATATGAAAAACATATACGGTCTCTCGCTCATTTCGATCAAATAGTGAGGTATTAGATGTACAATCGATGGTAATTTTCATTACAAAACATTTGGAGCACTGACGTTCTTCTTGAAGGAGTAAGACAGTGCTCTTGAGTGTCACTAAAAGTAACCAAAGATGTCTTGTGCGATATGTGTTGAGCATGATGTCAATACAATCGTAATATACATATAAATGCGACCTAATCCGCCGAAACTGAAACTTGAAAAGTTCATGATAAAACAGAATTCATTCCCGTTCGATACCATGACTGATTTCTGATTGTTTCGCTCAGCTCGTGTAGCACTGAAACAACGAGAGTTAATAAGTCGCCAACCTTACTGTTACATCAATTACCAGACTTTAACTATTTGAATATTCAGACTAAATAGTGGCTCGCTGAATTCAAAATTAAATAGCGCGATTGAACACGAAAGGTTCAAGATCAGAAATAATGAAGCTGTTTTACCGTAGTAGTCCTCGCCGCCAGACAGCAATGGCCTTCTCAGTTCTTCATGAGCTTGTGCCTTATGGCCAGCCATCTATCCCCGCTGAAGGACGTGGTTTGCTGCCTTTCCAGGATCAATGGAAACAGCTTTAAAAGCTTACAGCGTCGGTGGACGATGATAATTTGAGCGACCTTTTCCAAACACGCTACAAGCTTAGCTGCACAGTTGTTTGTTCGACGAATGAAGAATCTTGTGTGATGGAATGCTAATGACTTATTATTTCGTTGTGGGAACTGATTTTGACACCTTGTTTGGGGGGCTTTCCCTCGACAGTGCTCAGAAACGAGGCTCTTAACTTCCTGTTTACTCACGGACCTAGACATGCGCCTTGAAAAGTGCATGACTGTAGGCTTGGAAAGCGAAAACCAAGGCCTATTTCTATAGCAAAGAAATGATGTTTGAAAAATTTGTTGCCTCTTTGAATTGAAATGATCGTTCATGGCAAATAGTCTTAGCGTGGAAAGTCCAATAGAGACTCTGTCACGCAACTCTTATTACATGACGCCTTGAAATTCCAGGTAGCTGAGATTCCATTCTAACCAAAAAGTATTGTAAAATACATTAGCCTGCAAGAGGGCTCACTGAGGCACCATTGTATTTGGCACCTCGCAAGCTTCTCGCGAGATCCGCAAGAGTCGAGCTGGACTCTTCGCAAACCTCTCGCTGGCTAGTCACGCGAACCCGCGAGATGGTCGTGCAGCATCTTCGACGATAGAGTTCTCAAAAACTCTAACTTTAGAGGCATTTGAGATGCCGACAACTCCGTCTGTTCCATCAAAAGTCCTTAGGAGTGGAGGGGCGTAGAGGGGCACGGTTACTGCTCAGGGGGGTACGGAGTACTGCTCCGAATTTTAGGAAGGGTTATGTCGGCCGATTCTAAAATCCCTGATCCTCCTTCAAACTAAACATGCCATTTCCACCCACCTGTTTTCAAACGAAATGTCTAAAATCCATAAACATCTTCAAACCTGGCGTCCATAAGCTGTATTTAGATGTGTTATGCATTTCACTTCCCAACAGTGTCAAAGGTAAGAATTGAGAAAACTCGCCTTAGCTCCCGCTTAAATTTTCTAACCTTTGGTTCCTTCTATACCTTCATTATTCACGTTTACATGAAATTGAAAAGAAAAATACGTCTACCGTGCGCTCTCGTGGTTTCCCTTACAAACCATATCTGATCTAAACCGTTGATGGTTTAGTTCTACTACCTTTTTCTTATCAAACCAACTCCATCAGTATTCATATCTCTAGGGCGGAACATAACTTCAAAACTTTTTTGGGAGTGCCTTCCTCCCTCAGGGGTGCAAAAGTATCCAAGTTCGCCTACTGTTTCCAGTTTTCCTCGGATCAATTATGATCGCCATAGAGAAAATGAAAAAAGCTTTTAGCGAAAAGAAGAGTGATCGAATGTCAATTGAAGATAATGCACCTTTGTTATTCAACGATTAAACATATAATTTTTTAGCATTTACAAATAAAAGCTTACAGCGCACCTCTTGGTTTTTAATTTAGGGCATTACTCTTGGTGTCCTTTTCAGGAACAGCTCAGTCTAGTAATAATTTTAGTGAGAGATACACTTGAATTTTGCGTCAAAAGAGGGTGAATAGACAATAAAAATTTAAAAAAAGTTAAATAGAGCCGCGTAAAATGAAACCAAAAGTGCATATAGTAAGGGTTTAAGATTTGGCCAAGACAATAGGCATGTGAAACAGCGACGTCACTTGTTGTGCTGTTTCCGTCTCACACTTGGTTTTGCATCAAACCTATCAGTGCGAAAAATTTGAGACGTAAATGATTAGGAAAGTTTTGAGAACCTGGATTGTTATAGTTTAAGAAAAGCCCTCTCAATTTCAACATCGATGTTGGTTATTCGTCTGTGGCTCGTACCTACTTTTTGTGGCTGACTGAATAAATCCGTCTTTGCGCTGTGAAAACAAAACAACAAAACAGTAGAACGTTGGCGAAGACTCGAAACGAGCAATTAACTTCAGACTATGAGTTCGCTGCGAGAAAGACTGCTCCCTCATCGTCCAAACAACGGTAAGGGGCTAATAATCAACACATTATGGTTTCATTCCAAGCTAAGTTTAGATAAGTATAGATTTGCTTGGGCTCTTCGATGTTGCTCTTGAAATGGGAACTCTTTTCAAGCCACCAATACGACGAAAAACGTATTCTCGATGTTATTTCCTCTTCCATTGACTTAACTTAGTCCAGCCCACTGCTACTTCAAGATCAGTGCCTAATGATGAGATGCAAATCATCTAAACAGAGTTTTTTGGTTTGAGATTTACTCCTAGTTTGACCTTCAAACGCCCAGCAGGAAAATGAACAGAATAAAAGCTTTTGACCTAACGATGAAACAATGTTGTTAAAAATCACGTAAGATAAATTACCATTCATTCTACAGAGCTTCACCCTCTAATTTAAGCGCACTGTTATTTAAAGGCAAACTTAAATACTTGACAACCATTTTTTAAAGAGAGTAAAGCTAACTTGGTTTGGGAAAGGAAACTGTCGACTTTTTCCTGCTTAAGGATATAAGAAGACACACTTAGTAAGAATTAAGACTCGGAGACAATTACTAATGGAGTTTCGAAACCTCAAGTCAAGAGCCTTGAAATCAAATGTTCACCTTTCGAGGTGGAAAATTTGCATTAGAGGCATTCAGTAGGACCTGTCTACTTCCTTTTAGTAATATCTGCCTTCAGCTACAGCACACAAAAAATTAGAACGTGATTTTCATTCTTCAGACCATATTTGTCGTGTCAGCAATCCGTATTGAAACATTTTCATTATTTAGAATTACTCTTACGGCAATTACATGATATTTGTCACATTCTTTATGAGAAGAATGAACAAATGAAAGACAGCACACGTATTTATTTTATCACTCGACTGAAGAAATAATGGCTTTTCTTTAAAAGTAAACCTTTCATACTCAAACGTTATCTCATATTTGTTTACAGAACCTCAATATTCCAGCTTAATGCATCACCAAGGTGACTCATTCTTGGGCAATGATGATGAGTTTTCTGTTCAGCAACAAACGAATTATCTGCGAAACTTAGCTGAAAATATCCACACCGAAGGTGCTGGACAGAACATGCCATTGAGTATGTCTCCGGATCAAGTGAGTAGTATCCTCGGTGCAATAACACAGCGGCAAGAGTTTCCTTGCCATTCACCCACCCTTGATTATACTTCCGGATTCTTTGAAAGCTCTGGTAGTACGGATGTACGGTCGTCATCTTCGGCGCCTAGTATCGGAAATACTTCGGGTAGTTCCGCCATGACATCAAGCGGCCCGGGCATCTTCGGGACGACCAGCCAACAAGACAGCCCCCCGTTTCTTTATAGTCATAGCACTGGGCAGATAATATCCTCGCCGCATTTTCTGACTGGTGAAGGTGGTGAAGTTTCTTCTTGTGGCTTTGCACAAAGGGATCGAAGTAGAAGCTACCCTCGGCAAGATGTGTCGAGTGACTTGTTTGAGATCACGCCGTTTAATTCTGGCTCCCCGATCGATATCGATCAATATTTGCGTCCAGATGTGGAAGTAAAGTTCTGTGATCTGGAAGGTCGTGTATTTGAGAAGCAACAGAGCCGTAAGGATAAGAAAGCGCGCCAGAGAATCATCAATGGAAAAGTGAAGTTTTTAGTTCGATCTGAGCGTCCGATTGAAAAGGTGAAGGCCTGGGTGAGAAGGGAAGAAAATGCTGCCAAGTTAGAAAAAGATGCTAATGGTATGGTTGAGATCGCAACTGACTCATTGGAGAAAGTTAAGGAAAGTGGTCTCTTATATGTAAGTAAAACTGTGTCGATCTTTTCCTTTTCGTCATTTTATTGGAAAAAAAAAAACAAACAAAAAAACAATCAATGGAGATTTTTATCAGCATTCATTTTGATCAACATCAAAGTTCGAATATCCTCCAGTTGGTGTTTATCATGAAATATTAAAGATACTACCCGCACTTTGACTGTTCAAAGCCTTATCATTTGATTTAATGGTAAACCCAAAGCTATCTATTAAATAAAAATATCAGTTTGCCGTTGTAAGAATCAACTGGGATCTTTGGGAAACATTCGAGAAGTTTATTAAGCATGCTTTGCTCTTGTCTTATGGTTTGCTAAACTTTTCTCGTGTTCTAACAGTCTGCGTGGGTTGAATGCCTAAAAGTCAGATGCTAAGAGTGGAAAATGCGCCCAGCAACCATGCCAATGGCAATGGTAAAGATGACTATAGTGACAGAGTGTTCAAAAATCACAAACTTTATTCCAAGAGGTATTAGGAAAATTAGTGCATGGATAACTAAGCTAAGAATGCCATAATAACGCGCTCGAAACACTTTTCTATCCGAGTTTCTCCTCGTCCGCTCAGTCCGGCGTTTTATCTTATCAGCATGTTAGACTAAATATGTGTTATTTGTTTCATCATCTCCGCCGTGGTTTGTAGCTGGAATGTCAAGTAGATCTGGACTCGGTGTACAAGATGGATGGTTCTGAACGACCAGTCTACAAATTAGCCAAAGTTCACACAACCGAGAGAAACCTGTTTGAACTTGTGGTCCAAGTTGTCTTTAGTGACAGTGAAGTCAGTGAGCAAATCAAGTCCAATCCTTTCTTGATAAAGACGAAGAGATTGAATGATGAACCGCTTGGTATGTCAACTAGGAATAATGTGCGTCCTCAGTTGTCACAGAGGAATTGGTGTAAAATGACTCGTTTTTACGCTCTTGTTCTGAACTGCAGTGTGACACATTTGATAAAGAAATCAATGATCCAAATGTTCTTTTGGGAAATAAGGGCTCCCAAGTACTTCAGGGACCATCTAATATGGACAAGGAAACCCAGTGGGATTCTGTAATAAAAAACCGTCTAGTTATTGACGTCGATAGGGTGATGTGTCTGAAACGTGCAGCAGGGCTGATCACTCCTTGTATGAAGATCCATAAATTTTCTTTGGTCTTTGTCACTTATACTTTATAGCGCACTTTCTTAGCACTTTCGCATCGTATTATTCAAGAGCACCTCGGTCACCTTGAATATTTGATATATCAGCCATATTCGAGGCACGTTTCCCACAACTCTTTTTTTAAATCAACTTTAACATTTATCACACCGTAGAACCGGATACCCATTCCAAACGCACGAGGCCAAACACTTGTCCAACCAGCTCATCAAGATGGAACCGTGGAAAACAATCTTTGCAAAATGAGGCAGATTCAACAGGTTAGCTTTGTATCATAAGAGGGAAACTCCCAGGGGGGACTCTTATAAATTGCACAAGGGGTGCGTTTCATGCCCCTTGAGGTTCATCTCATGAGAGCAAAATAAGTCTCCTTCCTCACTCTAATTTAGAGCTAAAAAACATTAAAAAGTTGGGTCTTCTAGAAAAGGAACGGGATTTTAAACCGGCTCTGCTCCGGATTGTACAGAAAGCCTCTCTCATTTTTCGACCACTGTGATCGAATCTATACCCAACTTATGACCACTAGGGTAGGAAAAAAACCATAGAAGCAGTTTTTATGACAACTCACTCATAGGTATATGGCTTATTTTTTAAAGAGAATTAATCTTGGGTTGAAAGGTAAGACACCGCATGATTTATTATAAGTATAGCTTATTAGTGTTCCTTTTTGTTTTAGACCCAAGGTCTCCATCATCACAGAGCTCTACAGCCTCCAGAAACTCTCCCTCAAGTTCGGCAGGTAATTCTTAAAATATTTTTGTTGCTATGGAAGGACACTCTAGGGCTGCACTAACATCGATTCATTTTCCTTATCAAGGCGAACTCAAGCATGTGGATGACCTCGTGGTGAATCATTTGAAAGCCCAACAAGCAAACATTGACAACCTGACAGTTACCTTTCTGTTGCAAACACGGAGAGGTGACATCGCTTACCACTTGCGACTAACGAACCCGAGCTTGTACCAGACCCTGGACGAAGGGATAGTGGTGGGTTTTTTCCCCAATGATGACGGAATGGCTCAGATTGAACCGCTGAGCAGTGAGAATGCGACGCGTGCGGTAATGGCTGGGGTGATCAGCCGGTCAGCGTATGTAGAAGCGCATGCTCCGTCGGAAAAAGAGATAGGTTAGTGCTTTCATTCATTATCAGATATTGCTTTGAACGTGGATTTAGGGAGAAGCTTTTACTGAGGGACCGGTCATTATGTATCGCCAGAGATGTCGGAGAAGGGGGGTGGGGGGGGGGGGGTCGGGGGAATTTTCGAGCTAAACATCCATTTTCATCTCCTAGTAATGAACGTGATTTGAAATGTGACTTTGCGGCACCGATAAACTTCCATTTCCTTACAGGGGAAACAGATATTGTATGTGTCATTGGAATGGTCAAAGTACTCATTATTGGGTCTGTGAAAACCGGTGAACGCATATACGCTTCCACCGACAGCCCAGGAACAGGGATCGCAGAGTCCCATTTACCGCTGGGGGCTCTCATCTTTAGGGACCACACCCTTCTGGGCATGGCTATGGAGCCATGCACGCCTCGTTACCACGATGAAGTAAACCTGGTCAAGTGCTTTGTGTGTATCGTGCTGGGAATCAACAGTCATCAGCTGTCTAATGAGGTAGAAAACATCATGGAAAATGTTGACATGGACATCAAGGCAGCCATTGGAAAGTCAAATAAGAGAAACTGCCGACGTAACTATTGTTTGATTTGTCTTAATTTAACTAGCACACTGGTAAAAACTATACCGGATTGACATTTCACCGTAAAATAATAGAACAAGAAAAGGAACCTGAAAGACTTTTGTCTTTTTAAAAAATTTACAAATTCCACACTTAGAAATTTGTTCCCAGTAAAAATACATGATAGGGTTGTAAAGTTTGGCTCTCAGAAAACTAATAAATACGCATTCAAAGACAATTTTTTTTCACCACTCAAAGAATTTCTCTTTCTCATCCCAAACAAGCTTTAGGGTATTAAACATTCTAAAAATTTCATCATGTTATTTCAGGATTGTTCTTTCTTATCGCTGGCTTTATCACTTTCCTTGGACTCCTGGGATTCTTACTGTACGAAGTACTCACCCCAGGAACTCGCTTCCGCTACTTCCTGTGCCAGGCTGGGTCCAATCGTGAGCAACCAAACCTGAAGTGTAATTATCAAGATGCCTATGTGGTTCGTCATTAACTAATTCCTTTCAATATATTTTCCAGTGAGATCGAGAAAGATTATCGAAGATTGGGGGTCAAAAGAGGCGAACGATAAGGAGAAAGAGGTTTTGAGACTTGACCTAGCTCTTTCCGTATTGCTGAACTGTTATGCCAGTCACACCGTTACGTACATGATAGGTTTAGTAAACACTAAAATAGAGACAGGACCAGTTGTTTTGTGTTGCGGCGTCGTCTAATGAGGAGGTAGGGAATGCATTCCGGTATTTCATGAATATCTGTAGAATAATTGTGTACCTTCTTCTTTTGTCCATAGAATATTTCCGATGTTTACATACCTTTCGACCTCGATAACCTTATCAAGAAAATACCATATGGCGAGAGAAAGCCTGAGATAATTAGTCCAAAAAATGCAAGTAAGTGCGTAATTCAAAATAACATTATTGTCGTGGGGAAAAGGTTTATAATGACAACCTTCGAGAGGAAAGTTTCATGTTTAATTTGAATGTTCTTTCTAGAATTTCTAGCCTGCTCCAGGCGTTTAGTTAGAAAAACGGAGCAAAATGGTGAAGGAGGGGAGGGGGGCTAGAAGCAGCAGAGCGAAACAAGGGAGGAGGGAGGTTTGGGTCCTACGCGATCCGATCCAAACCTGTCTCGTTTTTTATTCCTCCGCTACTACTAGGCTGTTTGCTATCGACCTTATTGTTATTAAATTCTTGATATTTTAATAAAATTGCAACGGTTGTTATGCAGCGGAGTCCTATTCATTTAGAAACATTATGTATACTTTCTTCCGTCGGTTTAAACCAAGAAATTTCATCAGAATATGCTATTTTTATCAACTTTTCTGTTATTAATGACAGAACGATTTCAGCTGTAATAGCTTCTGGACATCTTGCCTGTGCCCATTTTAAGTTCTCAAACTCATTTCTTTTGTGTTGCTCCATGTAGCATCACCGATTTATTTTCTGAACTTCGACCGCTGTGCGTATGGCGGGCGTACAGACAGTAGCATGTATACACCGGAACCTGCCAAACCAGTTTGCGGACCTCCGTATCTGGCATCGTCTGGCAACTGCTCAAAAGTGTTTACATTCAGTTGGGGAGAATGGAAAGTTATGGAGAAAACCAAGCAAAAAGATGTTAATTACATGATCAACTGCGTATGCAATGGAAGTGGAATGGTGCTCTGCCAATGGATTGTTTTTCTGTTGTTATCCTTTAGCGTTTACTACCTATTCGTAAATTTTTGAAGCGCTGAGATATTTTATGAGTTGTGTAAATGCATTACGAGCCAAACTTTTCTCTTCCCCTCTCCTTTTGAAAACTCTTTTTTGTGGTCAAGCGACTCACGGGATTTTATCAATTAGCCAATCGTGTTCAGACCCTGAAAGTTGAGATAGCCTGGGCACGGTCTTAAATTTGAGGTTAACATGGTCGTTAGCTCGTTTAGAGTAATTTTAATTGAATTTCGAGAGTAATCCGGCGTTACTTTTGTTTTGCGTTACTTCGCTATGCGATTGGTCCAGAAAACCTGCGCCGCTCAAAACCAATCAGACACTAAACGAAAATCACTTGTAACTTGGTCGCCCGTGTTTTCCCGCGCTTTTAGCTTTTTGCCTGATTTTACTTTGACTTCTCTTTTACTTTGTTATCTTTGTTATAATTAATCGTTGCGATTGCTTTGGTTTTGGTTTTTTGACAGTCAATTGGAAACTGTTTTATTAGGTAAGTTGTATTTAGTTTTAAAGCCTTTTGTTTTCATTAATTTCTCGTTTGCTTTTCTAAGCTTCATTTGCAAGCAGATGCTGTATTTGACTTTAAACTTTTATTAGATCTTTATAAAGGGAGATTGGACTGTAGTCTCTTTATTGGAAAATAGTTTTTACCATGATGAGTTCAGGAGACCTCTCGTCTTTTTTCAGTATCGGTGGTATGATGGAAACTGAAACATTTTACCGAAAAAATCCAGTGTTTAGAACAAAGTAACTACGTCCAGTGACAAAAGTAAATAGGTTTAATTAATAGATTTGGCAGTGAACATTCCACGAAGTTAATAGATTTGGCAGTGAACATTCCACGAAGTGGCTCTGGCTCGTCCAGGTCAATTGGAATTTAGAATGTTGGTTTTTTTGTTACTACTTTTTTTCGTATGAAGGTTCAAAATAATATAAAAATACAAAATGCTGCCATAAAAATTTGAATTGTCGACTGTAGCCGATCGACATAACAATGGTAGATAGATGCGGTGACCGATATGATTGCATAATAATAATGAATTTGGGCGCGGTTCTATGATCGCTTTGTTTAAGAAATGATTATTTCTGTGTGTTTCAAACAATTGCTTTTGTTCGTTTTGGTTTTATTATCGCGTAAGTTGCTTTAATTTCCAGCATTACAAAGTTTCCATTGTTATTAATCAAAATGAAAGCAACTTGTAATTCTTGGTTAGCTCAGAAAATGTCAGCATTGCCATCAAGAAGTATGGAGTTAGTTCAGTTATATCAGCTGCTTATTCGTAACTTCTGTAGGTGAACTGTTCTTTTTGTTGGTACGAAGCATTATACCATAAACAGTGATCATTGTAACTGAAATTAAAAACAAGAATTTAAAAAGTACTTGACTGGTGACTTTCTTCATAAAATAACAACTCAAAAATAAAAAAACTGATATCTTTTGAATCACTGTTTTTTCCATGAAAGGTGTTTATTTGCCCTTTTGTTTAACCCATTCCATCCTAATAATAATACATATTCTCCTGCTGTCCATTAGACAATAGGCCATTTCACAGTTGTGTACTTAGTTGCCAAGCCTTTGATTCAGAGTGAGGCTAAAGATGACCTTGTTGTGATAGAGACCTGTATCTAGTTAGCATGATAACAAAGCGATTTACATTTGAAAGGCAGCAAGGTTTGTATCACAACAAGGTCATCCCTAGCCTCACTCCCGTTCAAAGGCTTGGCAACAAAGCACACAACTGTAAAATGGACTATTCCTATGGCACAAACAGGGAGACTTAGTTTAACATGCAATCACAAGCTTCTTTAGTTAGCGATCATTCATTTTCTTTATTCTCGTGACCCTAATGTTTGACTCGGCAATGAAATTGCGAGGACAAATTAGAAGCTCGTCACTCTTGGAGTTAAAAGTTCAAAGTTATTATCGCTCAGGCACAGGCAGCCCAAGCTCACTACTAGCAAAGCCGAAAAGTGCCAAAAAGTGATTACAGAAATTTCATCCGCAACACCTTGAACGTGCTGTGGGCGCGAACTGAGATCTTCTCTTACAGTTAATAATTGCCAGGCGGATCTCAGATCCGGCTTAGCCTAATTTGCTTAAATTTTTTTGGCGGGCAAAGCTCGTCATGGTGACTCTTACAGTGTTGCGCAACGTTTTATATTTATAAAGGTTTGTATGGGATGTTATCCGTTTGCCTTAAAAGAGAGAAAAAATGTCTTGTTTTGAAAAAAAATGGACTTACCTTATTGCCTTGTTGTTTTCTTTGTTGATAAAACGTTGCGCAACACTGTAAGAGTCGCGTCCGTTTTTCTAGTAGTTAGCTGGGGCTGCCTGTAGGTCAGGTTGCCTGCATCAATTTTTTTCTTTTCCTACCATAAATTTGATTTACGAGGTAGCCTGCAAGAGCTGACGGGTGTTGCATGCTTGCGTTTTTCAGGTGAGCGGAGGTAAGACGAATCATACGTTGAAGGAATTGAAGAGAACAGAAAATTGATTTGAAAAACACATATGAGGTCTGCTTTGCGCACTAATCGCAGAGGTGATGGCTTTTCGCCAAGTGCATGCGGCTTGGATCATGAATAATTACGATCACGATCAAAGATTTGGAGACAAACGCCCTTATTTCCTCCCCTACCCAGGCCTTTACCATTTATATCGTTTAATATCTTTTCCTACGTCTGCTTCCTCCAGAAGAAAAGCAACATCATAAAATCATAAGAGACAGGTTTGTACTGGGATTTGTCGTGATGGTTACATCGATGCATTATAAAGCATTCAAGTGAACTGCAGATCATAAATTTTACGGGCGTGCATTTGTGCTTTGGTTAAAATCGTGGACGGGACGGAACGAAATCGAAAACTCAATAGTACATATTTGCGAAAAGTTTCTAATTGGAAGATACATCCGCTCTTCCTGAAGGCTTAGTAACATCGAAATGTCGTTGATGATTTCTTTCCTGTCATGGACGGCCAATATCGCAACAGTTGGATTTTTCGTCTCAGGCGTGTAAGTTCTCTGAACTACAGTAATGAGCGATTCTTTTCTTAAAATTCTTATTGTAATATTCTCCATAAACTTTCAGTACCCATGCAAAAGGGATTTGAAACCTAACTGAAGCCAAAAATATCAACTACTATAGCAAGCTACGTTGGTGCTAAGATGTTGACAAAATATGAGACAAGATTTACATATAGTTCCATTCCTCAATTTGCATACAAATCCTGGATGAAAGAAAAAAATAAGGCAGAAAATTTATCTGTAAGACAACGGCTTTGTCTTACAGTAGTATGATTATACGGAAATCTTTCTGAAATGTGAACACATACAATGAAGCGAAGAGAGAGTGCACAGAATACGTCGATAGCTTTTGTAATAATTATTGCCTGCATAATTTGAAATCTATGCGAACTTAGAGTTTGTGGAGTAATTACGTTAAAACAATAGGAAACACACAAAAGGCGCTTTTGTAATTCAATCAGTTTTATGATTGGCATACGAAGCAAGGATTTCCATTTCTTGTTAACTTAATGTTCTTTTGCTCACAACGAAATTTTTATGTCCCATTGTACACTTCAAAATAAACCTTTTCCCTGCAGAAGATTCTTGTTGTAGTTGATGCTTGAGGGGCTAATATTTTTAGTGTGCTTTGAATGGCTAATTAATTTTTTTTTTTTACGACACTGTTGCGGGGAGACCAATTTTTTTGCCTTAAGATGCAGTTGGTTTAAAGGTTATTGTCAAGAAAAAGGTGGTCAAAATTTTCAAAATTTTCAGTTTTAGCTCTTTCATTAGAGAAAGCAGTTATGTGTAAGTGTGTGAGGCTTTTACTAAATTCAAAATATATCTTTCATGATGCTTCAGAGCATGACAACAACCAAAATATTTTCTATAGTCCAACTTTAAAATAGATTTTCTCAGGAACCAATAATTATGATTATCGAAAAAGCCTAACACCTTTTGCTAGCTTATTATCTTCTGAGTGATACTGTCCAGTTTGTTTGGAGGTCCACCGTAATGCAGAGGCTGGTTGTTCAGAAAAGCAAACAAAGTCAGTTTGTACTTAAGGGGTTGCATGCGCCTACCAAAAAAAAAAAAAAAGAAGCTGCTTTGTAGCAAGCATATTGAGCAAGCAGCATCATAATCAGGGTTAGAAAAGAATAATTATACTAGGGTGGGAGTGCCAATTCTTGAATTCATCACTTTTTACCAGAATGCATTGCAGCTTCTAACCAGAGTGCACTGTGCCAAAATTGTTGAGTTTAGTGTATTGCATTACATAGCATTTACTATTGTAAGAACATTTTCTAGATGTGCTAGATTGTGTTGTACTTTCCTTAGTAATTAGGCAAATTAACTAATCACTGGTATTGTATGGTAAGTCTACTATCTTGATCACTGAATGAATGAATTAGAGCAATGAAAAGAGTCTCTTGATCAATGAATAACTCTACCTTGCATAAGTTGACATGCACATAAGCCAGAAAGGAAAATTAAGGCAGTTGACTGATGGTGTTAACAGGGCCTGTGCAACTCCTGTCAGTCGCTATGACTTTTAAATCTTCTGCCCTCAAAATTAACCTCTTATCAGGATATCTCTCAATGACTTTCCTTTGTGATGTAATAATAAGGGTTAGTTTTAAGATGTCATTTCCTTATCTGTATGTTCTTGAGGTTTAGCAAAGGCAGATGAGATTGTGTTACAAAAGGCAATATTACTTCTGTGCAAACACTGTTTTCTCCATTTTTAGTACACTTTCCCTTCTTTAGAAAATAACTTCAGAGATATGATTCTCAATGTAAGTTTTGGAATATGCAGGTAGATGAATCACCGTGTAGATTATGTCACTGACTGGCACATTCTGTTTATCAACAGAATGTGCTGCAGCTTTACTATCTTTTTGATACAGTAGTCAAAATCTGTAATTTATAAGCTTTACAGTGATACATAGTTTTCCATGATCATGGTTTCTTAAAAAGTAGTGCATGTAGAATGATTTTTCTGGAAGGCACCTTATTTTGTTGACAGTAACTTTAAGTGCTAATCATTATACAAATCGTATACAGTGGGGCACTTCCATTGTAATAATGTTCCATATGCCAAATTACATGACTTTTTCTGTCAAAAAAGAAACAACAAGTTTGAGTTTAAATTTACAAGACATGTTTCGACATTCTCATGTCATCTTCAGTTGCAAATGAGCATTTAACGGTTGTACATTTGAATTTATAATGTTAAGGTACGTTATAAATTACGTGTCAGGGCTTACGTTATATTTGAATGTTAAAATGCGAAAAATGTAAATAGTGTGCGCTTGACTAGATACAAAAAAATAAATAAATAAATAAAATAATAATAATAAAATAAAAGACCAAGGAACAACATAATTAAAAGGAAAGAGACAATTCTCGATGTTTCAATTGCTGATTAAGAATGGGTTTTTCCCACTTAATATGCTTTGAGAGTTATTGTCACTCTGCTGTCTTTACGTCCTTTTGGTAACATGACTTTTTATAATAAATATGTAGTGAACCAAGGATCAACCCTTGGACCACTATTATTTCTTCATTACATGAATGATCTTGCCAACTCTTCAGATATGCTTTCTTTTCGACTTTTTGCTGATGATGCTAATATTTTCTATGCCATTAAAACATCAAAAGATCTTGAGGCAGTTATGAACTCAGAACTTCAGAAAGTAATTAACTACTGTTACATCAATAAACTGTCTATTAACATGAAGAAAACAAATTTTATGATAATAACATCTCCACAGAAGCCAACTATACACAATATTAATATTTCAAACATTGATCGCAAAGCTAGTATCAAATATTTAGGCATTTCTACAAAGCAAACTGACTAAAAACCTTGGATTCTTCCACCAAATGCAGAATTACCTAAATTTAAAGATGCTAGGGCAACTGTATTATGCACTTATTTACCCTTATCTTAATTATGGTGCAATGTGTTGGGGCAACACTTATCAGAGTAATTTAAATAAGATCAGTACCAAACAAAATAAATGCATCCAAAGTATCTTTTTTGCAAACAAACAGGAACCCTTTTTCCCTTACTACCAAATCCTTGAAATTTTAACATTTGAAACTGTTGTTACATTCAAAATCTGCTCACTTGCATTTAAACTATAGAACAATCCAACAACTGTTCCAGCAATTTTCCATAATTTTTTAATACCTATAACTGCTGTCCACTCCTATAACACCAGAAAATCCACCAAGCTTAATATCCATTGACCACAAGTCAGAACTAATTAACATAGGCAAATTTACTTTTAAGTACTCTGCTTCAGTTATATGGGAAACTGCTCCCTTGGCATTAAAAAAAATAAAAGCATTTAACAGGTTTAAGGAACTTTATATGGCCTACCTGATCTCTCGTCAATCAAAATAATACATGATCTGTTTAGTGATCAAATATATAGTATGTAACTATCCATATGTAAATAACTATAGTAATAACAACAGAGTTAATAATAATAATATTAATAATTGTCTGCTTATATTTCGGTCTTTGTTGTTGCTGCTGCTGCTGTTGTTGCAGATGATGTGTTGTTCTTTTCCTCTCCTTTGTCTCTGTTTCTGCTTTCATTCATGCTGTTGTTTGTTTGTTTGTATCTGTGTCTGTTTTGCTCTTATTAAGCTTGTCCTGTATAGATTTCTTGCTTGGTTCAGTATATCTCTAACATACCTTAAATTATACACATGTAATTCTCTCTTGCACATCGATCCTAGCTCAGTGCCATTTCTTTGTTTATCTAAAAGTAGGTGGTGGCCAACTAGAAAGCCCTTGCTACTTTGACCACCACACACATTTTTATAATCTGTACTTTATTTATTTTATTCTGTAGTCATTTGTTGCAATTTTACTTTTTTATCTATGTTAATTTTATATAAATAGTGTGAAATAAATGAACCTTGAACCTTGAACCTTGAACCAGCCCAGTTAAGAACATAAATGAATATATAAAGGGTAAGTATTTGGAGAAACTATGGTGTTGCATCAGTGGGGGTGTTACACGGTGATTTGGTTTTATTAACTTAGTTGATAATGTGTATTGGCCACTAAAAAGAATTACTTAAGGTGATATTTTAGGTGTCAGTCCTTGGTCATTATCAACTCATTTCATAGAACCAAATTAAGTTAGTTGCAATATTACTTAGTTTTAAACCAATGCTAAAATGCAACTGCAACACATATCTTTAAATTATGTTAGCTGTATGATAAAGTTTTGTTTTTACCAGCCTCTAATGTAGTAAGAAATAATGTACAGCAAGAGTTCTGATCACCTTGACCTTTTGGACAGGTTAACATGCCAGAAAATGGTCCTGAGTGGAAGCACAGAAAATATTCCTCTTCTACCATTTGTCACAACATTTCTCAAGTAAGTTATTTTGGCTAAGAGGTCAGTAATGAGTAATTCACTTGATATACTGGTCTTGATGTCTTGCTTAGATAGGCATACTTAGTGGGATGAATTCTTTTATCTAACCACCTATTAACCGCCTCCCGGTTAGCTAAATGGATAGAACACTAGACTGTTGTGCAGGAGGTAGAGGGTTCAAGCCCCGGCTGGACCAACACTCAAGGTCTTAATAAAAATAATTGAGAAGAATATGTCCTTTCTATAACCTCAAGAATATTACCTTTCCATAACCTCAAGAAATGGTTAGATATTGTAGTCTTCTCAGATAGGGATGAATAAATGGAGGTCCCATCTCCTGCAGGGTTAGGGGTAGGAGACGTTAATTTCCCACACACGAGATTACTGTGTGATGGATGTCCTCCCCTGGGGTGGGGTGGGTGGGTGTGAGGGCCGCAGGTTAGAAAACTGTATTAGGTTATTGCGTTTCCCTCCTTAAATAAAGTTAAGTAAGTAAGTAAGTATTTTCTTTTAAATCAGAAATTCAGCATGTTACCTAAGATTAGATTTAAGCTTATTTTGCTGTAAGAAAGACACATCCTTTCAAAGTTTCATCTGTGGAACTAAATGGAGTGTTGAAAATTACTTTAAGCCCAGTTACAAAGATATTATCAGCGATTTTTGTTGTATTTTAAATTAGTTTATTTTTGATATAATTCACATTTTACAGTGTATTGTACAATGTTTGCTTAGCAGAGTTGTATTATTGTTTCCATTGTATACAGCTGTATGATGTGGGCAAGTTATGGTATTCTTAAAGAGGATTCTGCATTAATTCCTGTCAATTTGAGTGGAATGATGTTGCAAGTTCTTTACATGCTGTGTTTCTTTTTCTACTGTAAACACAGGGTAGGTTGCTTGATAATAACTCACACACACTAATCTAAGTGAGGTGTGATGTACAATTGTAGAATCTCTTTCATATATCATTTGCTGTTTTTAGTAGATATGTCGGATAATAATTATGCACTGAAATTTTGCAAGTTGTATAGCATTTTTTCAAGCTGTGTAAAAACAAGGAAAAATGTAAGCTAGGAGTTAAATGTTTGCCTGTGTGACTTAAAATCATTTAAGAAGTTCATTGCTTTACAAGTGTCAAGCATAACAGAAGTTGGGATCTTTCAGTGTGATCTTTTCAATTTGCTCTGCTTTCTGTTTGTAAAAATTGCCTTATTCTAAAGTATAGTTATGTGACATAATTTGCTTGTTCCATTATGCCCAAATATGATAAAATGGCAGTTATAGTGGAATTATCATATACAGTACTTGTAAAGCAGGATAAATATATTTACTGAGTAATGCTTTATTACCAAGCTCTAAACTGATTTTTTTGGGTTAGCCTGTATATACAAAGTCATGTAGATGACTCCTTCCTGCAGACTGAAAAAGTTTTCAGGGAATGTAGGTACTGCAAACTTTTACATCTCTCAGTGTACCAAAACAAATTGTTCTCTTTTTATAAAGGGAAAGGAACTCAAGATCATTTTATATGCTGCAGTTGTATCACTGGCATTATACTTTTACATAATGCAGTATATCAGAGAGGAAACTCAGAGGGTTTCACATCTTGGATTTGCATGCATCGTCTTTACTGTTACAATGCAAGCCTCACCATTAGCAGCAGTGGTAAGCAAAATGTCCTTGATTGTTATGTTATTGTATGTGTCTCAGAACAGGGTGCTCAATAACCCTGAGATGTTATTTGTAGAAGTCTGCTGGAACAAGTTCAGCTTTTATGCTGATCAAACTGTTAAGTGGTTTGAAGTCACCTTAGATTCAATGAACAACAAGCACCAAAATGTACAAAATATTGTAACAAGAATAAGCAATTTCCCTGCCAGGTGCCATTTGGGAATGTATGATTACTAAATGTGAGTTTGCCTTTTGGTTTATAGGGTCAAGGGTAAATGGTTGAAGTTCAAAAAAATCTTTTAAACTAATAGAAAAGTTATTTCTGAATTTCTCTCAACTCATTCAAATCAAAATTTCACAGGCCTAGGCTTACATAACTTTCTGATACATGTTTTTGCCATGTGGTCACTGTAATTGTGTCTATGACTGTTAGCCCACTTTGTCTTAAACTTTTTATACCATGGACATGTCATACTGATCACTGCTTCCTTCTTTTGCGGATTTGATAACTCTTGATCGATATGTTTGTTTAAAAAATTAAAATTAAAATGAGGTGAGAACAAAACATTATAATTTTCTTTATTCTGCACAACATGATATTCACTGCAAAGGTTATTCCATTTTTTCTGTAGGCTAAAGTTGTAAGGACCAAAAGCACAGAGTCAATGCCATTTCTATTCTCATTTATGATGGTTGTGGTGTCTTTTCTATGGCTCTGCTATGGGATTGCTGTGGGCGACATCAATATTAAGGTGCAAATAAAGTCCTGATTTTTTATTTGTATATGAGTTACTGGGTTCAAGGTCAGTATCTTTAACATTATACAGTCATGTTCTTGGGCCACTGGGGCACCTGACCTCCATTTGTGACTTGGATGTTAACATGTATTAATATCTAATTATAACGTACTTTAATTTTCTGTTTTATGAGTTCCGTTAATTGGAAAGAAAGGTGTCAACTGAGCTGCACATACAAAACAAGTATTTTTAAAACATTTAGTCAGAATTTGAACTACTGACAATTCCCTCTTGAGAACTTACTCATCTTTTGGATGGTAGGAAGGAAATATCAAGTTAAGCAACTGTGCACTTAACCCTCCACTAACCCAAAGTTATCCCTTACTTGTTATCAGTTGACTGTTGTTGGGTTTAAGGGGAGGGTGTGGTGGGTGTACAGTTGCTTATAGAAACTGATATTGATACATTGTTTTGTTGTAATGGTTGTTGTTATTTTGGTAACACCAAGCACAAAGGTACCACTGGAGTATTGCTCTAAATCCCCCTATCATGTGGTCTATCATGTGTGAACCTTCCTCCCCAGCAGTAAATTTGGTGTTGTCATTTACATCTTTCAGGGGAGAGAGGTAAAATTGGTAGAAGTTTCTGTTTTTCCCAGTAGAAGACCACAATGACACTGGTCATGGCAAACCTGTTCTTTTGATTGAGAATCTACGTTGTATGTGATACCCATTTTCTTCAGCTCAATTTTTTTCCATGCATGGTCAATTACCAGCTATTCACCAAAGTAGAGGTGGTTAGTGGTGAATATTTACCGAGCTGTGATTAGAAACAACGTTGCTAGCTGCTAGCCACTGACTTTGAAGTGAACATGCAGTACGTAGTTTTCGTGTATACTCAAGCAGTGAGGTAATATAGTGCAAAAACATGATCCCTGCAAAACGTAAAATATTGTTGGGTGAATGGCAAATGATTTTGGGAGTTTTGAGTAACCAATCAGAGCACGCCTTTAACATTATGAATATCCTTCTGGAATCACAATATAACACCCTATGTTATTCAGCTTGTAACCCAGAGTAACAAAGCTAGGAAGAGTGAGGTGGAAGACGAAGGGTTTAGGCAATTTTGTACAAATGTTTTTGAAGCAGTTTATTGTTTTCTGCCTGACTCAACAGGCCTCCAAGCTGGTTCAGCAGTGAACGTGATAATTTTGATTTGATTTGATTTTTTTCTTGGTTCGCAGGTCCCTAATGCAAGTGGAGTATTATTGGGTCTCATTCAACTGAGTTTGTTCTGTGTATATCCCTCCAAACCTCCCAGACAGTAGTAAATTTGTACTAATTTATTTATGTTTCTGAAATTGTTGCCTGAAGCAGTCAATAATTGTCTTTCAAGTCCAGAAGTAATATAGGTCCTCGTCAAGGTGTCTAAATACAGAGGGAGCAGGTGGGAAATTCTGTGTGATGTCGCTTCATTTCGCGTTTTTACTCCGTTCGTTAACAAAAATAAAATACAATGTACTCCGCCTCTCAGTTTGGTAGAAATACATAATCATCTGGTTTTTTTTTTGTTTTTTTTTTCCAGTTTCCAGTGTCGTCAAACTTTAATTACGAATGAGCGCTTGTTTTATTTATGTCTGGCTAAAGCACGCCTGTGTACTAAGTGCAATTTTTGATGGCATTGACTTCGAGAAGGCCTTTGACACTGAATTTCAATTTTTCCAATTAGACCTTTGCATAACTTCAACTTTAGTCCTGCTTTCATACTCTAGATTCAAGTGCTGTATAAATGTGTCTCTAGTGCTGTATAAATGTGTCTCTAGTGCTGTTATGAATAATGGATTTACCACTGGGCATTTTCGTTAAGAAAGAGGGGTTAGACAAGGTGACTCCTTTCTCTGTCGTTATTTATTATTGCTGTCGAGACTGGCTGTAAAAATAAGAAATGATATAGATAGCAGTATTCAGGGTTTTAAAAATCGGACACGAAACACTTAAATTATCTTCATTTTCTGATGGCATCGCTTGTTTGCTAAAAGATGAATCTCTTTCAACAATACTTTATTGGGGCAATGCTCAGGTTTAAAAGTCAATTATGAGGAAACGATAACATTTGCTCGTGGAAACGGTACTTTATACGGGAAGTTGATTTTCCAAAACATAATATTTTCGTGTGTTCTAGCTATGATAACAAAGGGAAGCTCTTGATTTGAGACAAACGTTAAAGGATATTAAAAAGTCATTAAATACATGGATATGAAGAGGCCTTTTATTTGAGGAAGAATTTGAATAGTTCAAACACTTGCTATCCCTAAATTATGTACAAAGTGTTGCACGAATAAAAACAGCTTAGTTTGAAGTACAATAGTATGTAAGTAAGCCTCTCTTGCTTGGAGTTAGAGTCGATTGTAAGACAGATGATTTACTACTTTTCTCCATTTTCCTTGAATTTTGGCTCATGCTAGTTTTGTAATGTAGCTTTCATGTTCGAGGATATGTCGACCTTGTCACTCCCAAGATCTCGTTATTACTGAATTCTCATCACTGTCTACGTCACGATTCTTTTGATGTTCGGAGAATTTGGTATTTGATAAACCATAGTCCTCTACCAAAACTTTTTTTTCGTATTCTCATCACTTGTCTGCTTGATACGGTATTGATATTGTAAGGAGAAATTCTGGCTTGGTTACTCATGGGTGTTACAGGGTTAAAACTCCTCACGCGTACCTCATCTAGGCTCAGCTTGGCAACTTAGTTCATTCCCTCAGAGAAGAATGTCTGGTGTCCGTAGCTTTTGTCTGGATCTGTTATTCAGCATTATCAGCCTTGATTTATTTTTAGAAGAGTTCCTGATATAGAACTGGCGCTTAAGGGTGCGAGCGTGAAAGAAGTCATGTGAGCTTTCCAGTTGAGCAATACGTGAAAAAGTTCCACGACCCTTTTGAATCCATGACATAGCAAAACTTGTCCAACAAAGTATTCAGAAGATTTGAATCCAATGATTGCTTCGGAAAGTAAGTGCTCTTTGTCGCGAATGTATCAGGTGGTGGTATTGCACCCACTCCGTCTTTTAGATTTAAATGAAATGCCGCAGGGCCTTCAATTTATTCTTGTACCGGTGATCTTGCTTCTTTCCAAAATGTGCGACGCAAGAGAATCCTCGGATTTAAGCTTTTAGCATTTTCTTAAAGCCCCAATTAAACCTCTTGTTTTTTCTTTAGCAAGTTCTTTCTTTTTGTATTTTATGCGTTTGTTATTTCTTCGTGATACCTTTCGACTTTTATTCGGGTGAAGATATTTTTGCTCCTTTTTTAATATTGCCGACATTAGCCGCCACTTTGTTTAGGTTGCGTCAGCCCTATTTGCCATTATCTTCATTACTGAATCTGTGCTGCTGGATATTTGACGATGGAAAACCAAGTTCCCCTTTCAGCTTGTTTGGCATTAATTGACTTGCTCTCAGCGAATGAAAAAGCAGAACTGTTTGAAAGTGTGTTATTTAAATAGTGTTTTAGCCCAAAGCTGTAATACAACTTTTACGGCGTTTGGCTGAAGTTACGAAAATTACCGTCCCAGTGACTCAAAAAGCTAATAATTGTACTGAAATCCGTGTAAGTATGTTCATTTTCTGTATTCTTTTTGTTCAAACCTTTTTGGCCGATCATTTGTTTTGTTTTGTTTTTTTTCAAAATTAGTTTAGTTAGGGATCCCTATTATAAACAATACGATCAGTTGATTGTGACTGTATTTTCGCTTTTTCGATGGCATTGAATCTTTCAATATTTGTCTTACCCCTTTTTTTCAGCATTGAAATCTTGATCAAAATTTGCGCCTAAGCTCGAGGTCAGACGAACTTCGCAAAATAGCGAATTTTTCCCACGTTTGTAACTCCCACCCTGCAATTCTCAATCACTTCATTACATAACATTGACTAAAAGGTTCGACTTATTACTCTAACATTGCCCTTATATAAAACATAACACAACTCGATTAAGAATATAATTTACAAACTTTTATCCATTAAATTTAACTCCATGAAGTCAATGACTATTTGCATTGATTTTACCAAATCACTTAATTCCATAAACCTTCGTCTTCATGTCGGACTCGCACAGTTTACGCGTAGCTGTCTGGCTCAATTCACTTTCTAAGCTGAGCTGAATCTAACTCGAATCCAACGCCGATACTGATAATTGGTGAAAAAATTGACGTGTTGCACTAGATGGACGCTTAAATAATCATGAAATATGCAGTAGGAAAAAAAAATATACGGTGGTTGCTAGATGGCTTATGAAAGTTAGTCGATACAACTTGCTGGGTGATGGCATTCTCGGCAAATTTTCTTTATGAATCCACCTCAAACAACTCGTTGAGCATCAAAGGCTTCTCTCTCATCCATGTTGGACATAACGTCTCTGCAACATTAGAAGCCGAAATCTCATTTGCTTTTAATCGCGGACTGTATTTCATTTGAGTTAGTTAATATTAATCACAATGGTAGTAGAAGATTTTCTTGTTTTGAGAGACGTGCACTGAATCTTAAAAGAGCTTCTGTACCTTTGATAGAATGGTTGACACCACTTCAAAACGCTGATGACATGTGACGTTCCGAGTATTTGCGAGATAAGAGGCTTCTTTTTCATCACCGGAGTTAAAAACCTTTTTGCAAAGATAAGCTTGTAAAGATGTACGACAGGAAATAGTTCATGCATAGTGGTCAACTGGATTTCCCTTAAGCTGCATCGCTAAAGAGACTAGAGTGTTGTGGTTAGCACTCTGCAAATAGAAAGGTTGATTTCGCACGAAGAAAAAGCTAGAATTTCTTTTTTGTTCGCTAAAAATAGAGGGTAAACGATTTGTTCGCTTAAACACATTTTCTACATCTTACTTCAGTCAAATTACGTGTCTTGAACTTGTTCCTTTTCACAATATTTGCCGCAGAGGACATTTATACTTCAAATCAAACGTCAAATAAAGAACAAGATATATTGAAATTTACGTAATACAAAAATGACACAATAAACTTCGATTATGTGTCTTGTATTGAATTTACCTTGGAATTAACTTTGAGCTTTACAAATCCTTGGCGACATTTGACGCAAAAAGATAATTGATTGAAACGTCTTTCTCAGTAAAACCTCAAAAACTATGACAACATTACAAGGAACTTTTACTAAGTATAACAATCTATCAGTGCACTTTATCAGGCAAGAAGTCTCACGTTCCTCTTTGTTCTTTTGCAAATGACTTCAAAGACAAGTGTTTTAATTGTCCGATCCTTGTTATCTTTTTTATGGATTTTCACCCAGATGTGGTAGCTTAATGAGGGTGAACTCAATTGGGGTTCTTCAATAAAACTTAATTTCCTGCGTATGGACAATGGATATGATGATCAGCAATTTTTACTTTGAAAGTAAAATATGTTAATATGCGGCAAAAGAGGATTAAATATACTACAGTTGTAAAGTTGTCATCACAGTACGCTCCCCTGCCAACGAATTTCGAGTTTGATGGTCGAAAATCTCAAGGAAGGGACTTTGGTGCTGACTTGTACATTAATGAAAAGCCAATCTTAAACACGAGAAACACATGACAATCAGGTAACATAGTGTTTGTGATTGGCATAATTTGAGAATTTGTTTTATTTTCTGCGAAAGGTGTTTAAATCAACATCAGATAATTTAACAACCCCTAACTTGGCTTTAATCTTAATTTTTAAAGTCACTGACTTTTAAAAAGTGTTCCATTTCGCAATTCAGGGTCAAAAATTCAACGCCGTCCAGTTATTTCTAGATAAGATCTTTTAAATGCATAATACTAAAATATTTGACGATCTGGATGGTGCGTTTTTTATATTTTGCCTGCATTTTTCCTTCAGTCACTTCTTCTAAGCTTCAATTTTTTCTGTTGAGTAGATACACTTTCTTCTTCCAAATCATACTATCAATAACCTCGTGGAAGGTTAGTTTATACTTCTCTGAGTTCTGAGAGGCTTCCCGCTGTAGACTGGGGGATGCATAAGTATTCCGATTCCATGAGAATCGAGCGGAGAAACAATCGAACGGAAATCATTTACCGGATTGAGCGCTGGTTATTTCTGATAATTTGCAAGCTAGATCTGGATTCTTTATCCTTTGTATTGCTTCATTGTCTCCGAGTTGAGATGAAAGGGAAGGGTGAATGCACCACGAGAAAACAGACGGAAGGATTTAGCAATTGTTTTGGGCGCGAAATTTGTCTGCTTTGTTCGGGATTTTTGATAGGCGAGAAATTTTTGCCACGTAACTTTTGTGAAAGAATTAATTGCTAGACAATTCTTGCAGAAGGGGAAACTAAAATCGCATTTGCAATACGAGTGTCCAAAACAACGAAGATGCCATCTTCTACGCTTCTCCTTGCAAGTATGAAATGTTACTGTGAGTCGGTCTGGTAGGGAAAGTTGTCGCGAACAACGGCTATTTCCTTCTTTACTTCTGAATCAAAGTTTGTAGGAATAAAGTGTTACTTAAAGAGAAGAAAGTGATGAATCACTCAAAATGTTTCAAAGCCCATGCTATTTTGAAACAGACTTTCCAAAAAAAAGAAATGTTTAAGGTTTCCAAACGATCAATCGCAGCGCATAAGATATAATTTTACATAACTCATATAATTACAGTTGAAATCTTTTTGCCTGACGCCCATCGTTTTCTAGGTGCTACCCCTTTTTGAGGAGATTAATAAAGTTATTATTATTATTACCCCCTATAGTTTAAAGGCTCTTTTTGGCACAATTTGCGACACAAAACAAAATTCCATAAATGCGGAACTTTATCACTTAAAAAAAATTATCATAAATTTTTGATGAGCAACTTGTCGCGAGCCGCAGAGCTTAGTCAATGAGACGTCTTCAGCCTTTTTGTTTTTGCATATTTTCTCTGATTGACATCACAGCTGTGTTTTTCGCGTTTAATTTCTTTCCTTGACCTTCGTAGATTTTGTTTTCTGATTATTCAATT